TATAGATTGCTACTTTTCTTGGGTTTTTAAAAAAAAAAAATCATATCCTCGGAATCCTTTGAAAGTGAAAAAGAGAAAAAGAAAAAGCAGTTGAAAATTAAAAAGCAAAACTTTTTCTATTCTATACAGACAAGTATTTACCAAAAAGGTGATGCGACGGAAGTAGCCCATTCATGTTCCTTCTGGAAAAAATGTCAACCCTCTACTAAGATTTTTTTTTTTTTTTTTTTTTTAATAACCCCCCTTGAAACTAATTAATGATTAAATAAATTAATTATTGGTTTTAAAAGTTAATTAAGAGTTTATTATGTTTTAATTTAAATTTAAAGTACTAAATACAAAATACTTGGAAGGGTAAGTAAAGTCGCGTTTGGGTGCAGGTTTTTCTTTTCCTTTTTGACCTTTGAACTTTCTCCTCCTCCACGGATGAACGGGTCATGTTTTGTTGGGGACATAATTATGGAGGTCTACAGTATTATCAGTTTCTGGTGCTCTACATGCATCTCTCATTTCACCCAAAAAGAAAACACATACATATACATATACATATACATATACATATACATATACATATACCATGCATGCAATATTTTTTTTTAAAAAAAATAAAGCAATTATTGGAGAGAAACAAACATGACTGGACAAGAATGTCAAAACATTGCTTTCCATTATTAACACTGTTTTTTTTTCCTCAAAAAAAAAAAAATCTTTATAATTTCTTCATTTAATATATTTTTACTCTCATAAATATAAAAAAATTATAAATTTAAATTAAATTGTATCACTTGTTATTATTAGTGCTTTAAGTATTATTTAATAATTAAAGTATATAGTTTTTTTTAAAAAAAATAAATTAAAGATTTTAATAGTTGCCCAGACAGACAACCTTTGTCAACATCAACATGCATGGCTCTGTTGCCGTTTTCCCCACTCCTCTCTGCATTTTTTCCTCGATGGGGCGCACAACCCTTGTTTTTTGTCCGCATCCAATTTTCTTTCTAAAATAAATTGTTAAAAATTAAGATTATCTTCGCTTTTAATTTTAATAGAAAATTCTTAAATTGTATATAAAAGTAAATTAAGGTTAAAAACTTTTGTTAATTACAGCTTTCATCTTATAAATTTAAATCTCATTGAATAAGTAAATTTATTATTTTATTTTGTAAGTATATTATAAGTTAACGATTATTAAATTATTTTATTTAATTTAATAAAATTAAAATTTTAATTAATTATTATATTAATAAAGTTATCATTAGGTTATATTTAGAGATTTTTACTCAAGATAGTCATAATATGTAAATGTTCTTACTTAATTTTTATAATTTTTTAAAAAAATTATATTTAGAAGCTACTTTAAATTTTTTTTTTTTTTTTAAAAAGGAAGGAAAAGAAAACCTTCACTTATATATATATGTATATATATAATTAAGAACAGCCTTGATTTTCGACTAACCTTTGTGTAAAGTTCCAGGAAATACCTTTAAAATTATATAATTAGCGGGTCATAAGCCGGGGTTTAATTACTGTCTCCATCTAAGATTAATAAATTACTTATCTGCTAATTATTAATTTAACTATTTGTTAATTGAGACTTTTGCAGCTGGTCAATAGCAAGGTTTAACGTTTATTCTCTGTAGTTTGTCTTAAGTAATGTCCTTAGCTTGGGATTAGGAAACATGGGATATGCAGTGCATTATAAGGGAATATTTATTTTAATTTTTTTATATATATTATTAAGAAAATAAGTGAACATTGTGACTAGAATGCGCCTGTGTCATTAGTTTAATTAAATAATTTATCAATTAAGAGATACTTTAGGGTCTACTGCCATAAACCCACCCAAGATATAGTTTTGGAACCTGAACGTGGCACAACTGGGCTGTTTATAAATTAATTATCCATATATATAGTGTATTAAAATGGTAGGTAGATTAAACCTTAATCATGAATTTATATATTTTTATCAATAATTAATTAATATTAACATAATTATATGTAAGAGGAAGATCAGCGACTATCCCATTAAAATTTATTTTCTAATAAATTATATAGGGAATTTACAGTTTAATAATAATTTAATAAAAAAAATTTATTTATTTTATTAAAAATGCTTAAATTATATAATATTTATCTATAAATTTTAATTAAGAGATTGATGATGTATGCAATAAATAAAATAAAATTAAAATAATAATAGTTGTAATAATTACCTATTAAAAATTTTAAATAAACAAATATAATTTAATTTTTAATTGAGTAAGTATCTACAATAGTTATATTCTAAAATTATGTAGGACGTAAATTATTAATTATATAAATATATTTTTTTACACATAACTTGTTATACAAATCTTTCAAAAAAAAAAAAAGGTAAAATAATTTTTTATATTTTTATATAACTATTTTAAAATTATGTAATGTGCATAGTATATGTTAAACCCAAGTATATAGTGAAAAAAAAGCATATATTTAAATATATGAACTATATTCTTTTATTAATTTAATGTGTATTCAATATGGTAATACTATATTACTTTGACTCCTTGATAATATAAATTACGTACGTATCTTTATAGAGAAATATATAATTAATGTGCATGAATGTTTAAATATGTTACTGACTTTTGAATGCTTAATTCTTAAGGCTCATGTGGCTGGGTGTCGACTTGGCATAAGCAATTACTATTAAAAAATAAAAATAAAAACGTAATAACGAATCTTCATTTCTCCCACAGGCTCCGAGATGCACTTTACATATCTTGAATTGCAAATTTATTGTCATTTACATATAATTTTCTTTTAAATTATTATAAACTAACATATTTTTAAAAATTATATTTGATTATATCTAATTCAAGTGAATTAACGAAAATTATCCGCCAATTATGAAATTTTAATATAATTGCATAGTTTAGTATCTAAATTCAAGGGAATCATAAATATTAAGCTACGTAGTTTATTATACATTTTTAAGATTCATTCATGACTAATTATATATTATAATTCACTCATAAAATTTAAAATCATTTTTTAAATCAAGTCTAATGGTGAAAAATCGGATTGTTGATTTAATTCTTCAGATCCGCAAGCTCTGTTTTAGACTTTTAGTTGGGCTGTATAAAAATCAAAGAAATGGAGCTTTATGCATGGGCCTCAAATTCTCGGGAAACAAACAGATAAATGGGCCGGACTTATTAATTTCCGACTTTCTTCAACATACATATATATATATATATATATATATATATTTTTTTTTGGTACGATTTCGTGAAACAAATCCTCTCCGCAAAATCTATCGCCTCCCAGTTCTCCCTCCCGCAAATCGGGCCGGACTAAATCGAGAAACATCAACAATGGTGGCTCGACCATCCATTACAAGTTCCGCAATAGCAGCTCCCGTGGCCGGACCATTCAAGATTCCCCAGCAACTGTGTCCGGTGGCCACGTAGCAACCCTTCACGCCCGGGATCTCCCCGATAACTGGATTACCATCTTCCGTGCAGGGCAAGAAGCAAGCTTGCTCTGCTTTAACTCCTGCCTTTTCTTCACTTAAATGGCTCGACACAGTCCTCGCAACTCTCTTCAGCACGCTAATGGCTTCCGGGTTACCCGTTACCTGCTCCGGATCATCCGGTACCTCCTCCCTCGATGACATGCCGCACAGGTACACCTCACCTGATTACCAAAACCCACCATTTAATTCTCACAATCAAAACTCCGTTTCAAAAATGCACCATTAGAACAGAGTAAGTTGAAAGAGAATCCGGATTGCAGTTATATTTTCTACTTGTGGTTTCGATTTGGAATCAAATTGTTCAAAATCTTGCATGCTCGGAGAGAAAATTATTCGAACAGTTCTTGAATTTTTCTGGGCATGGCGAACTTACCGGTCGGACGAGGATAAACTTCAGGGTCCATGGCTTTGCCGCCGCCAGAAGGTAGATAACTAAGAAAAAGCGCATGAGGAGTTATAGCACCAGATTCTCTGGGTTCCAAGACGATGCTGTGAGCTTTGAGCCCGTACACTGAAAACAACGATGCCAGGAGCTGGAACTTACCAGACCATGGCCCCAGTGCCAAAACCACCGAATCCGACTCAATTACTCGGCCACCCTCGAGCACCACCGAGCCGACTCGCCCTCCCTCCACCTGGACTTGCTCCAATTTCCCTATCACCACCTCCACCCCATACTTCTCAATAGCTGTTGACAACAGAGTCCTCGTAAAAAGCTGGGGTTGCACTTGGGCTGTCGTCTGGGTCGACCCGATTTCTCTTGGGCTCCCAGCCGGGCCGTCGATCCAGGAAGGGAGACGGTGATTTTCGACGGGTTTGAATCCGGATTGATGGGCTTCCGATTCCGTTACTGTGACAGAGAGAGTGGTTACGGGTCTGTATCCGTATGATTCGGGACCATTGAGTTCCTCGGCAAGTGAACGGTGGAGATTGAAACTGGCGCGAGCGAGGGGCGCGAGGGACCCGCCGTCGCACCAGTCAAGAGCGAGGAAGCCGCCGGCTTTTCCAGACGCGGCGCATGCCACGGAGGATTTCTCGACGAGAGTGACGGCGGCACCCTTTTTGGCTAAGAAATAAGCCGCGCAGACGCCGATGACTCCTCCGCCGCAAACCACGACTCGCTTCGCTTGATGCTGATGGTCCATGGGCGGTGACGGTGATGAGGAGCAACGAATCAGGGTGTTGATTTTCGGGGTTGTCCGAGTTTTGCTACAGTTACGGGGAGGTCGGAGAAAGAGAGAGAGCGGTAGCTGGCGTTTCGATGTCAGTGGTAATGGTGTCTGTTTCACAGTCATATCTGAGATCTAAGGAGTTGACACGTGTAGAAAATGAGAATAAAAGATATATTAAGGACCGTGGCCCAATGGGCCCTCTTTTTGGACGAGGCCCGATTGACCATATAATCCAATCGAGAAGATAGACTGTGATAATTTAATATCAAAAATATAATTTTACTTATTTTCTTAATTTTTAATGTTTATTTATCCTTTTCAGTACATAAAAATGTGTCTAATATACGATTTTATATTTTAAAAATTATTATTTCTTCGTGTTAAAACCAAAATTCTTATATATAAATTAATTCGCACTTGTTTATATCTCTAAAAATTGAAAAATTAATTATTTTAATAATTATTATTTTAACAATAATTTCTTACGGTAGAGATGAAGTATATTTCAATAATAAGTTTGGTAATAAATTTTCTGATATCCATAAATTATAAAAAAATAAAAATTCAAAGTCTAATTGCTCTATATTTACTAATATAAGATACCACAAATTTGAAATTTTACTAAAACAACATATATTTATTGCTAATTTTAAGGTAGTGTAGGTGTTGGATTTTTCATTAAAAAATGTAGAAAATTTAAAATAAATTAATAATTTATCATATTAAATATGTATTTTTCTGATTGATTAAAAATAAGTATATGGGTAATTGGTGGCACTGAATTTGAAAGCTGAATCGCACTGATGCACACCATAAGTTGTGATTGTGATTGTGAGAGCAGACTTTTTCACCTCATAATTACACTGGCTTTCCTCATACACATACGTAACTTGCATTTCACTCTTCCCTCTACACTCTCCACTAAAACATATCCACCAATCACAAATATTTTTTTCCTTTTTTATTCACACTAATTGAATTAAAAATTTAATTGAAGAAAAAATAAAAAATGGGTACATAATTATGATTTTTTTTAAAATTCTTAATTTAATATTGGTACATAAAAATAACAATACACTTTCTGGTAAAAAGAAAAAATAATGCACAATATTCAATGTAAAGTCCTGGAACTTAAAAAAAAAATAAAAACATGAATTGAATGCGTAATCAGAATAATAGAGTTAAGATTTACATTACTTACACAATAGTTTAAAATATATAATAGGGTCATGAAAATATCAACTCTAAAAGAACAAACGAAAATTAAAGAAATAAACGAAAAGTAAACAACTCAGCATCTTAGTACGACCTGAAACACTGACTTTTGAAGGAGTCTGGGTGATGAACTATTCACAACTCTCTTATTGATCGAGATCTGGATCTTGGTTCTCTCGATCTGAAATAGTTAATGAAAGGGTAACTACATGTAGCACCCGG